AAGTAATGCAAATAAAAATAACAACATTCATGCAAAAAACTTCTAATTTAATACACTTTACAATATACACATTAAAAAATTATTAATTTTAAATTACACAAAGATCAGTACTTTTTTTGGTTCAACAAACTCAACAATACATTTATTAAGAAATTATTATTTTCAAATTTAAATTTAAGGTGAAAAAATTTTTAGTTTAGATTTTAATAGTTAAATTGATAAGTGTTGGCAAATGTGTTGAATTAAAGGATCTACTAATTATTTTCCTTTCAAATTTGAATAAAAGACAATAACAATTAAAACTTTAGATTTTAATTGTTGAACCAATAGATGTAGACGAGTGTGTTAAGTTGGATGGTGTATTGATCATTTTCCTAAAAATAAACACTTCAAACAAATGTCAGGGCAAGTAAACAAGAAATTCCCTCATGTGACAAATTGCTTTTCATCAAGCATCATGGAAAATTAAATTTGAGAATATATATATATATATGAGAAGGGATCTACTTAAACATAAATTTTATATGCCACACTTATATAAAATTTTAATTATTTATTTCTCTATGATCATAAAATTTATTATGATAATTTAGATGAAAAATATAGTTATTTTTAGTAAATGTAAATAAATCATCCTCATTGAAAGTGAAGCAATAAATAATTAAGATTTTGTGTGAGTATGATATATAAGATTTTTGTATAAATAAATCGCTATTATATATATATATAGGGTGCTGCAATTGGGACAATCTTTTTGTCCCATCTTTTTGTACAACTTTCAAATTTCATTAAATAAGTAGATGCATTCAATATCATGGATCCCACATAAATTCAAAGAACTAATAATTTTAATGACACGTCAGGTTATACAAAAAAGTGGGATAAAATGGTTATTCCAATAGTATTTTCCATATATATATATATATATATATATGGGAGATTTGCCCTGGTGCCATCTTTAGGAAAAGAGTTGGATGAGTGGAGACCCTTATTAGTATAGCAGCCGACTAGCGTACTCTTTCCACCATTAATCTGTCAAACATGCATGGGTAGATGCAACTAACGTAGAATCAATTAAAAGAATAGAACAGAAGCTATGTTTTGTTCACGTACGTAGCTCTTGATTCTTCTTTGATTGAGAAATCGAGAAAACAAGGTACGATGGATTGATGCAGGAGGGGGAAATCAAAATTAAAAGCAACTTCAAAAGAATATATTCAAAAGAACCAAATTAATAGGAATATGAAGTTTCCTCTATCAATTTATGAAAATAATATAGTTAAAATGCTAAGCAAAGTTGTAAATTTGCAACATGATATATAGTTATGTAATTGGTTCTTTTCATTCAGTTTCAAGACTAATTATTAATAGCATGGTTATTATTTTGAAATGGGTGAGGCAAGCACACAATTAGTAAGAAGTGAAAAACTGTGGACCTAATTTATTAATTAAAATCATAATTAAAAGTTAAAAGCTTTGGAAGAAAAAACCCTAGCCACCCTCTCCCTTCTCTCACCCTAATTTTTCCCTTTCTCTTATTTGCTTCTTTGGCCTAGCCACTATTATCTCTCTCCCCCCTCAGCAGCTAGGGTGGATGGCTAAATGTGAGAGTTCTCTTTTGTGAGGGTTTTCCCTCTTTTTTTAAGGTTTTTACCTTGGTTTTCTCAGTACTTTTTTAACAAGATTCTCTCTTTATTGAATGAAGATGACAACTTAAATACCATATTGGTTGAATTCATATTAATTGCTGTGTTTGTTTTAGCTATTTAATGCATGGTTGGGCATGGGTTCCTAGCTAAATTTTTTTACCCCAACCAATTTAATTTCTGTTTAGATGGATTATACTGAAATGAAACTTAACTACTAAATCTCGAGTTTAGGTATGGTTATGATATTCATACATGCATTAAATTATTTAATTTTTTATTTTCATGCATCTTATGAATGTAATACCTTTAGAGTATAACCCCATTTGGATTGGTCTTATAATGCTTATAATTTTCATATATTAATAAAATTATATTTCTCATAAAAAAAAGTTAGAAGCTTCTCATACATCATTGTTGAGACAAGTAATATACGATACCAATCACCTTTTACTTTTATTTTTCCTTACATATTACACATTTATTTTCATCCTTTGTAGTATATAGCAGAGGGCACTTAGTGCTTCGTGCACTTGGTATAGCAGTAATTGATGTAGCTTTCCATCTTCTCATTGTCTGAAACATCCAAACTAATATTATGTCAATGCTAAAAATAAAAAGTAAAGAAACTTCGTAGATATAGGAGAAGCATTAAAGAAAAGGGGAGTAGATTAATCTGGGGATCGAATTTATACCGAAGACTAAACTGGGAGGCATGGTTTGTGCACAATGATTTGTGCAGTCGGATGCATCGGAAAACTCGCAGCTTATTGTACAGATTCTCAAACATGAAAATCTATAAAACAAAGGGAATGTTGGGCAACGCATAGCACACATTAGTTCGCAAGTTATTTCTTGTGAAGGCGGTGGAATCACTTGATTCAAAGGGGTTGCTGGAGGAGAAAGGATTATAGGGTGTGAAGGCCTTTTTGGAATCGGACGGGTCGGCGAGACAGGAGTATTTTTGGGAGCTGAAGGGGCTGGTGTAGGGGTAAGGACTGGCTGAGGAGAGGGGGTTGGTGGTGGAAGAGAATTGATGGAAGAGAATGAGTTCTTGGAGCTTGAGAGATTTCAGGCGGGATGAAAGGAGATTGTGCAGGTAGTAATGGGGTTCCAGGGACGGGCGGAGGGACTTCAGGAACCGGTTCTGTTTCTGGGGAAGGGGCGGTTACCGCAGGAAGCACAGTAATATCTTCCTCTTGCGCTACAGGGAGTACCACTTGCAGTGCTAAAAGTATCAGCACTGCTAAAAATCCTCTCAAACCATTTCCTTTCTCCATCCTTCTATATTTTTGAAGTTGTATTGTTGACGTTGAATCTGAATAAAATTCATGTATTTATAGGGTTGGCAAGGGCAAATTTTTCCATGCCATGCACATGCATATTTACTTTATAGTCTATACCCAGTTTCGATGTTGGGATGTTGGGGTTTGTGATTTTTGCCCATACTTTTAGGTAATGGGCATTTTTTTAATGTATTACGAAACGTTTATAGCACAAATAGCAATAGTAAAGTACACTATACAACTACACTTTTTAAGAAAACCCCACTATGTGTGAAAGTAGAGCCCACATCCTTAACATTGTAAGATTTCAACTTCTAAATCTTTAATCAATTAACCTATGATCTCATTAGCTTTTGGTAATTGTTATTGCAGATCTTTTCCCACACTCCTTATATTTATCTTTGAATTTGTTACTTGTATTCAACTTAATTTGTATAGCAGAAAAATTTTTTTTTTTTTAAATGAGAACTTGTATAGCAACTTAAATACGATTATATCATTCTCTTTTACCCTATTAATCATAATTTTTTGTTTTTGTAATTTTAATTTTGTAGGTTATATCGCTTGGGAGGTATGTATGCTGAGTTTTAAACACCTTAATGTTAAAAGATTTGAAATAAAAACTTACCATCACGCTCACAGAATCTAAAAGTTGTAGCAGGACTTCATCCGCCACATCAAAGGAATCAAGCATCAACAGTGAACTGCGAAAACACTGCCTTCTATCTTCCCACGGGGCCAAATGAAAGACCTCATACAAATCATTTCAAAAAGTACTCACCCCATGAAGCAAAGTTGTGCAACATAGAATTTCTCATGGTCCATATTGACCAGGCAGCCACAACAAATATAAAGGGCCGTACCTCTGGTTTGATATGCTTATGAACACCTGCACAATGACTTTCACATAACTAATGGGCAGAACTGGGGCAATGAAATTTAAACCCCACCAACCATAACATCTCTTCCACAGGTTTTGGATTTTTGCACATTTGACAAATATGTGATCCACACATTCAAACTCCTGTGACACAAGGAACACAGCATTGCATTGTTTTCTAGTTGGATTCCCCTACCAAGCAAAGCATCTTTGGTGGGAAGACCATTTAGCAGCAAACGCCACCCAAAACAATTGACTTGTGAAGGGAGAAGATTATTGCACAATTTGACACAGATTTGCTTGTCCAAAATCCTACTGCAATTTGACAACATGGTTATTGACTTTGGACAAAGTAGAAATAAGAATATTAAGTCTAAGTTTTGGCCTAGAATTGGGGAATAGAGAGAGAAATTAGAAATTGAAGACTAGAATGGAGGAATAAATATTCAGAGTCAAAAGTTGCTAAATCATAACAAGGAACAAATTACAAAACAAAATTTTACAGGATGGCTGGTTATGGAGTATTGAAAGGGAGAGTACTGCTGTTGATGGCTGGGGTTAAAGGATGGTTTTAGGACAGTGATTGAGGAGGGTAAAGATACTCTGTTTTGGGAGGATGTGTGGGTAGAGGAGGTAAAATTGAAAGAAGAATTTCCTAGGTTGTTTAGCTTAACCATGGATAAAATGGAAAAAGTGATGGATTTAGAGAGTTGGAAGGAAGGGGTATGGCAATGGAGTTGGAATTGGCAAAGGGAGTTATTTGTATGGGAACTAGAAATTGTACAGGAGATGCATAAGCTTCGGCAATCAGTAATTATTCAAAAAGGAGTTGAAGATAGCTGGTGCTGGAGATGGGAAAAAAATGGACATTATTCAATGAAATCAGCCCTCAAAAAACTAAATGGTGAATCCAGAACGAATGCTACTGGGTATTTTAAGCAGGTGTGGAATTCTTCAGTGCCTCTGAAGGTGTCAACCTTAGCATTTAGAATGGTTATTGACAGACTACCAACGAGGAACAACTTAGCCAAATGAGGACTGATCAAGGATACAAAGGAAATTAAGTGTCCACTGCACTCAAAGAAGGAAAAGAAGGAGGAGATCATTTCATCTAATCAAATTAAGAGGAAACTACAGCTGAAGATTTCTTAAGGCTCAGATAAAACACATAACTTATTCACATGGTGAAATTCAAGTTACTCAATCCTACGCACGACACAAACATCCATTCCAACCTTCAAATACCTACTACTATCAGGAAATGGAATAGATTAACATGGTACAGAAATTGGGGAATGACTTTTGACATAAATTGTCCATAATGCTATGCAATTTTGCAATTCCACGGAGATCCCATATCAAGGGAAAACTATAATAACGGTCAAAGATTCAATTGTCTTCTAGCTTTATAGACTATAAGGTAGTTTATTTCCAAGAGTGACCCAAAAAGAAGTTGAGAACATGCTCCCGCAGACTACATAAAAGTTAAACATCGAAAGATTGGACTCTGTGACTCTGCTACATGAAAAAGCATAGCAAATAACAATAAACATACTCAATGCAAGATCCATTCTTTCAATAGAGAAAGAAAAGGTTAACCTTGTGACCAAGCAGCTCTATGAGAACACCTTAAACCTCAGATGCTTTAGGGGAATTTTCTGGGGTCTTAAGAGCACCTCCTGTCTTGCCTTTGTGTGTCATGACAGCCACTCGGAACTCTTCTACTATAGAAACATCCTTAAACTTCAATGCAAAAGTTGATAGCCCTTCTTTCCCTTCTCCAATACCATTCATGCAAGCAAAAGTGATGCCCTTCTTGTCCATATTCGTCAGCTTCATGTCTGGGTAAAGACTGGCATTCAGAATCAACCTATAATTTCCTCTAGCTCTCATCAGCAACCTGGCTCTTTCTGTTCCGGCTGTGGAGACATTCACCTTGAGTTCGCCCTTCCCACGCTCCTTCCACCCTCCATCCATAAACTCAAACAGAACTGAATCAGCTGAGAAAGCTACTCTCTCATTCTCTTCCCCTGTCTCAATTGGAACCTCCTGCATGGATGGAAAACCACTTCCCTCACTCTTTGAACCAATTGAAGACCCTGATGTGTTAAAGAGGGAAGAGTTTCCATTTGTTGAGAGACCAAAACCAAAAGAAGGCTGGACAGATCCAAATGAAAATGTTGAACTAGGAAATCCTGTTCCAGCAAGTCCTGTGAAAGCATTTTGGCTACTTGAAAGCTGATGAAAAGAACTCAATGAAGCACCTTCAGCAGCTGAATTTACATTTTCACATGTGCTATCTTTCTTTTCCTCATTATCAGCCTTGTCATTTTGCTTCTTATCTTCATTCTGGGTCTGGTCACCTGCTGCTGGTTTTTCACTATTGGCCTCATTTTCGGTTGCTTCATTGGCAGCGTCACTTTTCTTATCCTCAGCATTATCCTTCTCTGCAACAGTTTCACATGGTGGCTCATCAACCTTACTTTCCAACTGTTTTTCATTCTCATTTCCACTCTTTTCAGATTCATCTACAGGCTCATCAGTCTTGCTTCCTGACTGCTTAGTATTTTCATTCTCTTCATTCTCACTAACATCTCTTTTTCCATCTTCTGAAAGTGTTTTCTCATCATTATCAGCTTCAGCTGTAACATCAGTGGACGTTACACTGGGTTCAGCAGGGGTTGCTTGGGTTTCAGTCAAAGGGACCAAGCGAATTCCAGCAAAAGGATTCGATGAGGGGGTTGATGTGGTTTCTTTCCTGCGAACTTTGACTATTCTTCTGTTTGCCAAAACTTCTTCACTGGCCCTCTTGAAAGTTCCAGTCTCTTGTTCAGAAACATCTTCTTCTTCATCATCAAGACCAGGGTTATCCCGAGATATTTCCCTGCCAGCAGCTCTCTTCTTTGATGGCGGAAGAGCACCTTCTGCATCCCCCATTTTTCAAACTAACTAACCAAGAAAATTTATATTTCTATGTGCCTTTGATGCAACTAATAGTATCTGCAGACCACCAGAATAATTATTTTGAATGACATGACCATCAAGCAAATTACTGACATATATGCATCATCAACTGTATGCAAGTAGAATATGAATAAACCTTTCACACAAATAGCAACAGTGGTTGGCTTTACTGAAATATACCAAAACACTCAAAACAGCAAAATTATCTGAAAAATCAAATTACAAGCTCAGGACCACTAAAATATCTGTCTTTGAGAAGTTTACTATTTGAAAATATGTCACTGTAATCACCAATTTTCAGAGGTCCAAAGGAATCCCTCACATATATTTTAGAAGTTAAGTAGTACTAGTGCCTAAATGGTAATAGATGTCCCAAACTAAAGATTTTTCTCGGTCCCTTCTAGTTTTAGTAGCAATTCTGACAAGAGAGCATAAATAGCTAAAGCATAAAGAGCTAAGTTACGCTTCATCAATGCCACCAAAGAAAGAGGCCCCACATCCCAGTGCCCTAGCTTACTAAGAATAAGAAGGGTAAGAATAAGAATATTCATGTATCACATTGAAATGTAGCAAGTAGCTTCAATTCACATATGGTAACTTCTATCTTCCCATTCCAAATACAACAAGGTGTTCACATAAAGTTCCCAAAAATCCTGAAGAATCATATGCTAATCTAAAAAAGACAAGCTCAACAAAAAATTAAAATTCGGAATATTAGAATTACTTCTTCTACTCAGAACCAACTTCGCATGCCATGCTAAATAAAAATAACTGCCCTTAAAAAAAAA